ACAGAGCGAGATTCAGGGAAGGGGCAAAGCTACACAGAGAAACCCTGGGGGTGGGGGGTGCTTGGAAATGACCTAATAATAGCCTCAACTATGAAAAAGTCACTGGACTCTGAGGCAAAGATCAGGGTGCCACTTGACAAAGGACTGGCTACATCTACTTTCCTAGACCACAATGCACTTGGGGAGATTTGGTTACTTCCCTCCTCTGATGAGTTCCTGCACCTGGCATTAGGCAAGAAAACCACACTATCCCTGCACTGTGACGCACCCTTCCTCAGCCCTGTCTCACTGGAAAGGCAGCAGTCCTTGCATGCAGTTGCCCAGAAGAGAACATGCTTGACCAGTCATATAATTACTCTGTCCAGGACCCAACTACCAAACCAACACAACACTGCTCTAATGCCATCCTACACACTGTGCCTTCAGCTGACAGCAGGAACTGAGCACAACTTCCTTCACCTGTGGATTACACCTGGTCTCCACAGAGCAGCACAATGGAAACCATTCAGCTCTAACTCCCTCCAGTGGGTGGTCTCACTGTTCTCTGAACAATGTGCTTTCCCTTAATACTGTAAATAACTTGATCACTCTCTCCAGAGATCAGAGTTTTTGCTTCTCTTTCACAGTTTGCTTACCAGGACCTACAACAACTCAAGGAAACTTCTTCTTGCCTAGGGTATTAGCACATGCCCACAAAAATAAAACATGGCATAGTGCCATGCATACTGGGGTACCAACTGAGCCATTTTCCCAAACCCCAAACATCCCATTTGTATGTCTCTATCTACTTTCCCAATTGAGAAAACAAACCACAATTCCCTTGTGCCATTCTTTTTCTTAATTTTTAATGATTCCTTCTTATTTCTTATGTGCATTGGTGTTCTACTTGCATGTATGTCTGTGTGGGAGTGTGAGATCCCCTGGAACTGGAGTTACAGGCAACTATGAACTGCCATGTGAGTGCTGGGAATTGAACCAGGGTCCTCTGGAACAGCAGCCAGTGCTCTTAAACTGAGCCATTTCTCCAGCCTCAGGAGGGTTTTTTATTTTTTTCTAGACAGGATTTCTCTGTGTAGCCCTGGAACTCTTCGTAGACCATGCTACCCTCAGGCTCAGAGATCTGCCTGCCTCTTCCTCTGGAGTGCGAGGATTATATACTCCTTGCGCAATTCTCATTCAAGGCATAGAGACTAATTCAACTACTGCTTTTGGGCAGAGGAAACCAGCAGCTACTGCTGAGAGCCCTACAGGAAATGGGATTCCTCAAAGGCATTATATTATATCATCCTCAGGAAGGAAAACAAGAAAAACTCCCACTCATCTTCATAAGAAATAAAAAACCTTGAGGCCTGAAAACAGCTTTGACATGGCAGAATGTAAAAGCACAATCTTTTCCTACAGCAAGTACCCCTGGTGACAAGCATCCATTACCTACCCGTCAGAGGTCTGTGCCCTGGCTGCACAATGAGACACTGCCTCAACACCATACATACAAAACTATCAACCCATATCAAAATAAAGACAGGAGATGTGTCCATAGCAGAGAGCCCGTCCACCAAGTGTAAGGCCCTGGGGTTTGGTCACCAGCACCAGGCAAAGAAAAAAAACCGTAACTGGCCCTGCTGACAGTGGCACACTCCCTTAATCTTAGCACTCAGCAGAAACAAGCTGATCTCTGTGAGTTTGAAGTCAGCCTGGTCTACAGAGTGAGATCCAGGACAGCTAAGGCTGTCTCAAAAACAAACAAACAAACAAAAAAACTAAAATTAAAAATTAAAAAATTTGCACTGGAGAGATGGCTCAGAGCACCAACTGCTCTTCCAGAGGTCCTGAGTTCAATTCCCAGCACCCACATGGTGGCTCACAACCATCTGTAATGAGATCTGGTGCCCTCTTCTGTGTACATAATAAATAAATCTTAAGAAAATAATAAAAAGTTTTTAAAAATTTAGGGGCTGGAGTGAAGGCTCAGGAGTTAAGAGTGCATGTTGCTCTTGCAAGAAGACTCAGGTTCAGCTCCCAGAACCACATGGTAGCTCACAACCATCTGTAACCCCATTCCAGGCACACACACACTGCATACATTAATGCATGCAGGCAAAAACATTCATACACATAAAGTAAATCTTCAAAATATAAAAATTAAGCTGGGCGGTGGTGGCGGAAGGCCTTTAATCCCAGCACTCAGGAGGCAGAGCCAGGCGGATCTCTGTGAGTTCGAGGACTGGTCTACAGAGAGAGATCCAGGACAGGCACCAAAGCTACTCAGAGAAACTGTCTTGAAAAACCAAAAAATAAAAAATAAAAAAAATAATAATTTTATATAATTTTACACTGACACAGACATAAGGATAGAAGCAGCAGAGTAAGTTCAGCTAGTCCTGCCAAGCCAACCAAACTTGGTGGCTGAAGAGGCAATCAACTCCCACACAACCCAACCGCACAACTGTGTCTACCAGAAACCAAAAGGGCTCATCAGTAAAGAAAAGGAGCACAAAGACCAACACCTCTTCCTCCCTACCTTGTTAAGTGATCCAGAGTTGTAGCTGCAAAGGATTTGAAGCAGCATTGGGGGGCGGGGGTCTGCCTCTGCCTAAGTGCTATGATTAAAGACGTGCACCACCACTGCCCAACAAATGCTGTTCATCTTAAATAAAGAGTACCCCTTGAGTTAAACAATCTGGAAAAATCTGACACTTTGCTAGAGTTGCCAATTTGTCAACCACCAAACCCCTTGAAATGGTCAATGCCAGTTAACTATTTCTCCACAGCCTTAATTCACTTATTTCCACTTCTACCTATCATTTGAAATCACCCAGGAACTCAGAACCTAAGCCTCCCAGTACCACTCGTAATTTGAGAGCTCTCCTGGCTTCCAAATCTCTTTCCTGTCTTCTCAGGTCTGCCAACTTCCTCACTGAAGGGAGTTCAAAGTCTCCTCTCACCATCTTTCTCTCCTTACAGAACACCCTCAGTCCCAAATGGAAGCCTAACCCCAGTAAACAGGCACATGACTGTGCAAAATAGACACTTGGACGCTGAGCAGGTTGTCTCAAATAGAGCAAGAAGAAGAGACTTAACTCTTGAGCCTCCCCATACCACACAGCATGTCTTTCTTTAGCAAACTCTACCTTGATTAACTCATCAATGTTGTTACACCCACCATATAAGCAAAGAAATTATTCACAAGTAATACCTATCAATCATTCTTCCAAACACCTCCTGCTCCCCTCTCTTCTGCATGGTCTGTAACGTTTACTCCTGCTGGAGCCTCTGGGCCACCCTCTTCTCAATGAAGACAGAGACTCCCACGTGTAATGTACTAAGCAATACCAGCCACAAGGGACTCTAAGTCAACGGTGAAATTAAGAGAACAATCACTAATTGTACTGACTAGTGTCAGTTAAGAGCAGGAAGGAGTTACAAAAAGAAGCCAGAGAAGATCACCAAAGAGAGTTTAAGAGCTCTCCCCCAGCTTATAGCAAGTGTGGTGTGGTAAGAGGATCGGGGACTTAGGGCATGGTCTGAAACATAGGTTTGTGGCCAACCAGAGACACATGTGGTGATCCTGTCTCAGAAAACAAACAAATGGGAAAACATCTTTTGGGTAGGTTTTGGTTTTGGTTTTTCAAGACACAGTTTCTCTGTGTAGCCCTGGCTGTACTGGAAATTGATATGCAGACCAGGCTGGCCTCAAACTCTGCCTCTGCCTGTTGTGTGCTAGAACTAAAGGTGTTTGCCACCACTGCCTGCCAACACTTAACTTTAAAACTACCTTCCAATCCTAAACAAACATCAGTACTAGCAAACAAAAACTCAAATGTACATTTGCCCTACCAAAAATGCAAACTGTAGTTGGGGTGTGTGATGGTACACACCTTTAACCTCCCTCTGGGGATCTCTTGAGTTTTTTGTTTGTTTTGTTCTGTTCTGTTTTTGTTTTCTCTGTGTAGCTTTGGAGCCTGTCCTGGAAACTCACTGTAGCCCAGGCTGGCCTCGAACTCAGAGATCCGAGATCCCCCTGCCCCTGCCCCCACACCCCCAGTGCTGGAATTAAAGATATGCAATCGGGCTGGATCTCTGAGTTTTTAAGTCAGCTTGGTCTACATAACAAGTTCTAAGCTATCCAAGGCTAGATAGTGAGTCTGCCTCAAAAAATAGTGATGGAGAGATGACCAAAAGAGATTTTTCTTCCTGCTGGCGATTATTTCTACTAGGACAGCACAACCAAATCATACCGTAAATGCTTGTGAATTACAAGTTAGGCAAGTTTTTTAAAAAAGCAGGCATAGTGGGACACACCTTTAACTCCAGTACTGGGGAGGCAGAGGCAGGCAGATCTAAGCTAACCAGCATTAGATGGTGAGATCTTAAATCAAAATTAATCTTTTAATGTATCAATTAATCATTTTCCTAATCTAACAATTTCTCTTGGTACCTGTCATATTCCTATTGGAGGTATCCAACTTGATATCCAACTTGATATCCAACATTTGCCTGGAACCACCAAAAATAAACCAAAACAAGGGTCTCCTGAGAAATACCTAACAAATGAGTCAAGATATTCATTGCCCTTTCCTCCCATCCTTAGCCTCTCTGTGGATGTGGATCAGGTGTCTTGTCTGTTCCTTGTACTTTTTTAGGTTTAGTGGGTATCTGACCTCTACTCTTCGGGTACCAAACAAAGCACCCACATATCCAAATTATGACCATTTAAGACATTGCTAGAAGCTAAACATGGTGGGGCACACCTCTGAGCCTAGCAGCAGCCAGAGGTGCACGGTGAGACCATCTCCTCCCCCCTCACACTCATAAAAGGACATTGCTCAAAGTCCCCTAAAGACAGCAGCACCCCAAGTAAGAGCCTTCTTAGTTGGGGAGGGTGGCCCCAAGAGACAGTGGGGTGGCAGCCTGAGGCAGGTGCACTGCTAAGGAAGAAAGTCTTTGGTTAGGTTGTAGGACTGCTCCATCACAGCAGGGACTAGCGGTACAGACCTATAATCCTAGCTACTTGCTTGACTATGGCAGATGTTCAAGACCTTGGGATGAAGATGGAGTTTGGATGGCAGATGCTTGAACAGAGCCCCAGGTTCAGTTCCCAGCAATTCATGACCAGCACTGAGGGAGAGAAACAGGATCTGAAGAACAAGGCTATCAAATATATAAAAATGAACATATAAACAAATGATTCCAAACTGGGGGAGGGGGTGTCACTGCCCTGGTGGCAGAGTACTTGACAAGAAGGTTGTTTGGCTAAATATTCAAGATTCTGGGTTCTACCCAAACACTATTTTAGCTCAACAGCCAGAGGTGGAACTACTTTTCATTTTGACCTTACTATCAGCTTCAGAAACAATTCTGTCCCTACTCCATCTTTTTTCATGTGTCACTTAGTGAGTAGAGGGCTATTCTGGCATACCAGAGGGCCTGGGTTCAATCTCTAGTACTGCCAAAAATGAAGTGATAGAGGCACACAGGCCTTTAATCTCATCCACTCCAGAGGGGAAACCTGGGTAAGGACTTCAAGCTCATCTTGTGCTACTTTGGCCTCTATGTCAAAATGACAAAAGAAAAGGCCCTGGTAGTTAAGCACCTTTACATGCTAGTACCATCTACAGAGGATATGGCTCTGAGGCAAAGCACCTGCCCAAAATGCACAAGCCCGGACAAGCATACATGCTTTGCATGCATGATATATGTATGACAAGCTTGTGTCCACAAAGTCTGGAAGGGGGAAAAAACCCTACAGCTTTGATTACTATGAGCTGCTTATCTACCCTTTGTCCTTTTTCCAACTGTTGGCCTTTTCTGCGGAGATTACTAAAAACCAAGCTTTGACTCTGTCTTCCAGTTTTTACTCTTTCAATACAGGAATGCCCAGCAGGGGCCACTAAGTATGGGGGGGGTGTTCCAGTTGACAGTGCTTCTACTAAGATGACTGCATACAGCAAAATACTGAACTAAGATCAGAAAAGCAAGCAACAATGAACAAAGGGCGAGCATGTGCAAACAAACAGAAATGAAGAGCGGGACTGGAGTGAGTGCCGGGAAAGCCCAAGGAACCTGTCCTAAGGAGGACCCACAGACTGGTTCACTTCTCCAAGGTACACTGACGTCAGCCTGCCAAAACACACTTCAAACAAGCACTCATGACCAATACTATTATATGTATTATTCTACAATGTCAACTCAAAGTTGCTTAGCCACTTAGGATGACTTTAGACTAGCCACAACAAACCAGTAAAATACTAAAATGTTATCCAGCACCCAAATATACACTAGACATGAACAAGGAACAAAGTTTTTATCCTATTTGAATCCAGAGCACCCACCAGAAGCCCATTCCCAATGTACTGTCCCCCAGATATCTGACAATCAAAACTGCTTTAATGGCGGGAAACTGCTTTAATCCCAGCACTATGGAGGCAGACACAGGTGGATCTCTTGAGTTCAAGAGTGCTAGTTCCAGGGTATCCAGAGCTAAAAAGAGAAACCCTGTCTCAAAAAATTAAAAGGGGGGTGAGGGGAAGAAAAAGGAAAAAGGTCAAGGTCCCCTCAAACTCTCATTGTGTTGGAGGAGTGGCATTTGATGGTGCTAGCTAGGCATTCAACTTGGACCTCCCATATACTAGACAGCACTCAGCACTCTACCACTGAGAAAACATTTTACTGTTTAAAATAACCCTGGGACCTCTTGAAATTGAGACACTTTTGTAGGGCAAAAGACACAGTCAATAAGACAAAAAGACAGCCTACAGAATGGGAAAAGA